GTCCCTACTCCTTGTTTTTAACTAAAACATCCAAACTTGGGAGGCCCAGCTGGTGTACTCTAAACCGCAGTCTCCTAAAACGAATGAAGAAAACAGCCAGATTAAGGGTGTGATGGTCATCGTATGCTAACCCTAGACCGACAGCGGCCTTGGTTTTGAAGTAAGCCATGCTCTCCTGAGATTGAGACTTGCTCTCATTATATTTGGAGCAATTTGGTGCTGAGACCCTCAGAAACTGCAGAGCACTGATTCTGAGTCCTGAGGAATAGGACCATGGAGCCTTCCAAATTAACAGTCAAGGGGTTAACACAAACCAGGATACGGCTCAGCTTGCCATCTCCTACAAAGAGCCTCTGTTACAGCATCTAACTTGTCAGTACCTGGGGATGTCGTCACTGGAGTTCTCAGCTTCTCAATCTACTTCAATTAAAACAGCTCTAGAATATTCCACCCCTGGTCATTTTTAGCTTCACTAAGAAAGGAGAGGGCCATTCGATCCCTTCGGAAGATCCCTGGGATTGGGAGAAGAAAGAGGAAGACAGATCATATGGAGATCAGTGTGCTGGAACAAGCAAAGCTACTCTAGGCAAAGGCTAGTCTGCGTGCAGTGTCTTGATCTCCACTCCAGATTCCCACCAACAACCGGAAGAAGCGTTAGAGACAGCAAATGGCCTCTTCAGAGTCCTCAGGCAGGGTGGGGATGCTCTACTCTCCTAGGCCATCACCTTAGGTGCTCACAATGGAGCAGGGCAGTAGCCAGACACAAAGCCATACAAGTTCTTGGGAGCCCTTCCCCGGACATCTGTCCTCCAGAGGCTGCCTAGGCATCTGGCACAGCCAGCCTCTCCCCCTGGCTGCAGCGTTTGGAAACTGTTACAAACGGACAATATAGTACCATTGGCTTGTTACATAGTTTCTCCCTTGCCCCACCACGCCAGACCTCCAACTTTATCCTCAAAGCACCCATCCTTTCAATAAAGCATGACCAGCTCACTCATATTTTCTATATTCATTTGCTTTTCTATATTCATTTGCTCACGTAGTCATTCACCCAATTTTAGG